TTTTTATTTTATTTAAAAAAAAAAAAATAAAAAACAATTTTTTGAAAAAAAAAAAAAAACCCCCCCCCCCCCCACATAGGCATATTTTGATACAGCCTATGTTTATGAGAAAAACCAACACTAAGCAGTGCTTAATTTTCAAATTAGGCAAATACAACGACCTGAACCTTGACTGTTGTGGTATGTTTCTACCAGCTTTGCACATCAGATGACTACATTTCTTGCACCTTCTTGTCTAAATAAACAAACTTGCTCAAATTGGAAGGTGTGTAACTGTGAGGATCAATTTTAAAATCCTGACACGTGCCTCTCAACCATTATGTATTTTTCAGACCATAAGCCGCTACTTTTTTCCTACGTTTTGAACCATGCGGCTTGTAGCCCCGTGCGACTTTTCTGTGGATTTTTCTTCAACCACCAGGGGGCGCTTTAGCAGGAAGTGAATCATTGGAAGTCAAAATTGGAAATCAAAGAAGAAAGTGATGATTTTCATTTTAGAACAAGCACATGCTAGCACCAGGCATGACGGAGAAATGTTTTCAAAATCATAATCCCCTCATCATGGAAACCACACGAAGAAGTTCATATGATGCAGCTTTTAAGTTGAAGGCTATCGATCTGGCGGTACAGGAGGGAAATACAGCCGCTGCACATACACCCGGCGTGAATGAATCCATGGTTCAGCATTGGAGACGCAGGACTGCGTTCTTAATAAATCCAGCAGGTTTAAATCCTTGTGGAAAACCGAGAGCGGCTTATAGCCCGGTGTGGCTTATATATGTACGTTTCCGATTAATTTTTCATGTTTTGGAGATGCTGTGGTCACTTGTTTAATTTTCTTTTCTCTATAGGCTAGATTAGTGGAATGCATTACTTATTCTGTTGGCAGAATAACTAGTAGTCCACCTGAACTGTGGCTCTCTGCAGCTCCTCCACACCTGCAGTTTGGCCTCTTTGCTGCTTCTCGGATTAATTCTCTCTTTGCTCAGCTTTGTAATTTTAGGTAGACGCCCATATCTTGGTAGGCTTTACAGTTGAGCTGTACTCTTCCTTTAAATGTCTTTACAACTTCATCTCAGGCCCGTCTGCTGTGTTTCTTGGTTTTCATTATGCTGTTATTTCATTTCCATTTCACAATTATGCGCAGCTTTGTGTGTGTCTGCCACATAAAATCCCACAAATTTGCACTGAAGTTTGTGGTTTTGACGTAAGAAAATGTGAAAAAGTGGACAGGCTGTGAATACGTTTACATCAAAAGCTGAATATTCTGCTTTAAATGATGCTGTGATAATTGAAAATTAGGTCTTAAGCTTGTGAAAAAGTTTCTACTGAGTTGTGGGGCTAATGTTCCCAAATAAAGAGGGATCTTTATTTGGTGTGCATGTCTTCGGTGCTGCTGTGCTCAAACTGATTATTCCAAGATGATGACTTAAACATGAGGAGGGTTTAGATCCATTGGTTCTACTTTATTAGTAAAATATATATTTAAAGGAACTTTTTGATCTGACGTTAAATAGATGCCATAATAAGATATCACTGCGGGTTATTTGCACATTGAAATAAATTATGAATAAGTAAGTGGCTCTATTTGTTAGTTTGGAGCGCCTCTGTATTATGCATTCATTCTATTATGCTGTAAACTTCATCACACAGCCAGCTGCAGCTCTTTGGTTTAGTTGATTATGAGCTCTTTTCTGCCCCCTCTCCTCTGCACATACGCACAGCCACAAATCATATTTACCCCAGATTGTCTAATTGGGTCATTTAGAAAAACCATTAACTGGTTTATTCTATATTTTCTGGTCCTAATTAGATGGAATACCAGAGCGAGGGAGTGGATGCCAGCCTGGTGGAGTATGAGGACAACAGGCCCATTCTGGACATGTTCCTGCAGAAGCCGATGGGGCTTTTATCCTTACTGGATGAGGAGAGTCGCTTCCCCCAGGCCACCGATCAGACCCTTGTGGGTAAGACAGTGAATAACCTGTGGCCCCATCCACAGAGGTGCAGCGTTAGTTTTTTCCACACAGGGTCAGGTTGGTTTGGATAGCTTTTAGTTCATTATGAAAGCTTTTTGAGTTTATTTGGCTTATCTTCGTCTGACAATAAAATTTGTTTGATGATCTGAAACACTGAAGTGTGACAACAAAGCAAACAGATGAAACCTGTAGGGATGAAAATACTTTTTCACAGCACTGTAGCTGCAGCTCATTATGCATGTAAAGCCTTTTAACACCCCGTTTTATTCTCTTTTTATGTCTTGCTCACAGATAAATTTGAAGACAATCTGCGTTGCAAATATTTTTGGATTCCTAAATGCATGGACCTTTGCTTCGGAATACAGCATTATGCTGGAAAGGTATCACATGTTTGCTTGCTAGATTTTGGAACATAAATTTAATAATACATACACACACACACACACACACACACACACACACACACACACACACACACACACACACACACAGACTCTCACTTAGTCTCAATCTGCATTTTTTTTACAGCAAAGATTTGAAGTGATGCACTCGGATCATTCTGGGCTCATGAGAATGAGATGAGGTGTTAGTTTGTTTTTAATGTGCAGCACTTTGGCTACCCTAGTGGTTTTTGAAAGATGCTATAGAAGCAAAGTTGACTGATTGATTGCAATCTGAGTTTAAGCAAATTTGTAATTATTGTGTAAACAATCAAACAAAAAAACTCCATAGTGAAATAGGCCTGAGCTTTATACTTGTAGGCTGTAACCAGGCGCTGTCAGCCAGCCTGACGAGAGGTTTTATTGTCTGATTACATCACAGACCTTATATTGGCTTAATAAATGCTTTCTGTGAATGCTTTCATGAACACAGATCTTCATATGTTTAGCTTGGACTAAACCAGCCTCTAGATGGCACAAACACAGATCTCACTTTGATGAGAAATATGGTCTTATTGTTTTTATATCTCGACTGCATCTTCTTGATTGCTTGTTCATACAATACATACTGCTATGAGGCTCAGTAGAGACACCGGCCAAACAACTGACTTAAAAGTGACTCCAACTGCAGTAAAAGTTGACAAGATGCTTTTTTATCTAAAAAAAAAAAAAACCCTTCTTGTAACATCAAAATTACATAAAACACAAAGTTTAAGAATAAATAATATATGTACGATTTTTAACTAGTACCACGTAATATAGCCAATGGTTTCCTGGAATTGTTAGGTTAGCTTCCAGGAACTTATTGGGTTCTTTCCTGAAACTTTCATAGTTATGGACTAAATCACACATCAAGTTCTGAAAAGCACTCGTTAAATTCAGGAAAGTAATCGGCAACGTGTAAGTTCAGGAAAGTACCTGGTCTGTTCTGGGAAAGTTTTGGGAAGTATACCCATTAAGTTCCTTAAAGAGATATTGAAAGCACCCAGTAACTTTCAGGAAAGTAAACCATTAGTTTCAATGAGGTTCAGGCTGTAAAAACTCAATTTTAAACTTAAAATTTTTTATATGGCTGTACCTTTATATGAACATTCCCTAAGTTTTGTTTAAGAAATGTTACATGTTTATGCTATCAAACTATAGTAGTATTTCGTATATATTGGATAACTTCTTGTTGCTTACTTTGACACAGAACAGAGTGCATTGCTTTAAGAAAATTGCTTGGTTCCCTAATATTTAAGGTTTTTGTTTGTATTTCTGGCGTTCTGCTCGACAGGTGATGTACAACGTAAATGGATTTCTGGAAAAGAACCGGGACACTCTTCCTGCAGACATCGTTTTGGTGTTGAGAACATCGGAGAACAAACTCCTTCAGCAGCTGTTTTCCAGCCCTCTGACTAAAACAGGTACGACAAAGGAAAATTATGCCAATTTAGCAAATTTCAGGTGACATTGTTCTCGTCATCACAATAGAAACGGAAACTTTTGAGACAGGCAGTTTGTGTGATGGTGATGCTGTATAAGTGCTGCTTCTATAAACGTTCAGGTAAGTGGGTTTCTTAAAGACGCGGCTTCCAGCCATCCACTGGTCCTCCTCCACTTCAAGCCTCTGCGCGCCGTTCTCGGATAAATCTGCACTCTCCATTATCTCTGGAGAGGCTCAGCTCTCTGCGCGGCGCTCTGTTTTTATTTTCACTAAGCTTTCCCTCTTGGTTTCCCACTGCTGAATGCTATCTGCAAATTGTGGGTGCGGAGGGATATTTTATGATAAGGTTTCTAAATACCCGGGGGATGAGGAAACAGTATTTAGGGAACACAAAAGCAACTCGTCCCACCTCTTTTCTGTTTTTTAAATGAAGGTAGAGTAACGTGCTCGTCATTAGCCGGCGCCGAGGCCTCCTGGTCACTTGACTTAGCTGAAATGCTAATAGATGTCTTAAATGATCAGATCCCCTCTCCTTTATTTCAGCTAAGCCACATTATGTGATCCACATCCTATTTTAGGGTGGGGGGGGGCTGTAAAGGCCTGCTTTCGCTCCCAGCTGCATGAAGAAGGGGCTTCGATTCACAAAAGGCTCCCAAGCTGTGGAAATTTGCGACGTCTGTAAACTTCTATTGCAGCTTGTGCACAAGGGAGCCTTCAGCTACTTCCTCCTGCAGTTAACAGCTTCAGAGAAGTGCACACCATAAAAACAAATGCATTGAACACATCTTTTCAGTAAACAGCAGCACTGAATAGAAGCTGAGATGTGCTGTAATGTTTACTGTAGGAGTCTCTTACATCTAAAAGCTTCTTCTTTATTCTCTTATTGCTCTGTGGTTTTGTCTGCTCTGCCATTCAGAGGAAAGAATCACGTTAATGTGCGGATTTATTGGAGAAATAAATTGTTTATGTGCATTTTCAAACTTGCTAAAAGGCTTAAACAAAGCTCAGTGTGAGCAGTTAGCCTGTTTGTTAAGAGCTGGAGGTCTGGTCGCCCTGCTGCAGTTTTTGAAAGTGCAGATCATCTCTGAAGATAAAAGCTGGTCTGTCTTATCAGTCTGGAAAAGACGGAGTTCTGTTCAAAGTGAGATACAGCACAGCATAAGAAAATTAGAAATCTGTTCTTCAGGGTAGAATTTTTGGAGGGATTTAATTTGCATCTCCCCGCCACGTTATAGATTCACTGTTATCTGTGAAATTACCATTATCTGAGAGGATCTGATGGAAATCAGTTTTTACACCAGGGTGGTTTGAGTCTCTGGGGCTCCTCACAGTATCACCACTAGGGGACACCCTCGTAGACCTTAAGCCTCTCCAACTGAGGTTGAAATATCTGTCCAAGGAAGTCCAAGAACACATATATGTACCAGAAGGACAAATTCGTCCCAGCTCATATTCCCTTACTTTGTATTTTCTCAATCCTAACACATGCATGTTTTTCTCGGTCTCTTTTACATGCCCACTTTGAAAATTTGATAGTCCTGCTGTAATGTTTGTGCTCGGTAAGCAGCAGGGAGGCAGGAAAGCCCCAGAAAGTAAAAATCTCCCAGGCTGTGAGTAGCGAGGCCACTTGAGCCCCCGGAGAAAGCGGGTCCTTGAGGCCTGGACATGTGGTGGTGTTTTGTCAGAGGAAATGGGATGCATTTGCATGGACAAATTCCTGAGAGCCAGGGTCTTTCCCAGACTGAGGGAGAGGGATCAGAGTGTTTGAATTGGCGCAGCTAAGTCAGGCCTACCAGGGCCTGGGCCACCTTCAGTGGTTCTGTGTGTGTGTGTCAGAGAGTGTGTGTGTTGCCTCAGGGCTGCCTGGGCCTGCTGATTGTACACACTGCACCTCAACACTGCCAGTCCTTTGTTCCAGCACAAAAAGTGTTGTGATATAAAGTGTGACTGCATTTATTATTACTACTGATGCGCTCTTTTTGTCCTCGTAAAAGAGGCCTGCGCCTCCCCACAATTTATGAATGGTGAATATTTTGCGGAGTAGTGCAGGTGGAGACTTTACAGAAATTACAGCGCGTTTGTAATCCTAAACAGCAGTATCCCCTGTGTTTACTTCAGATAATGTAGGAGTTGGTGCAGTTCAGTACAACATTTTTCTCTGTTTCCGTTGTAAAAGTGGCCCATACAGCTGACCTGTAATACACACTTCCTGAACATCCTACAGTGGTAGGTTCATAGGATAATGGTATAGTTAGGGTGATGCACCGCATCAACCAACACAGTCCATTAACTGGGGGACAGAAAAATGTCACAAAAATGCAACAAACAGGAGACATACTAGTAGTGCACCGCGTTTGTTTTCACACTACTATGACGCCCAGTTAGGCGTTTGGGTTTAACCTCGTTGGAAACACTTCCTGAAAACTGCAGATGATGAAATAACGAACCTAATAGCTAGCTTAGTGTGCGTACGGCATTGTTGCTTGTGATTTTGAAAAGTGACACTCAGCAAATAAACAAAGCAAAACAGAAGGTTATCTGTGAAGCAAAGTCATGTACATAGGTGACTGTAAATGACTGCGACACCAGTTTGGAACAACTACTGTAAGCGATTAGCACCGCTAGCACAGTTAGCATACCTAAATGTAACAGCAGTGTCTGGTTATTTTTTATATTCCTACTTTATGTTAGGAATTTCCAACATTTTTAAATCCAGTATATTGTCCAGCAGGTAGTTTTTGAAATCCCAGAAGGATAAAATTTGAGTAACTTCTTGCTAGTTATCTACTTAGCCTTGCTGTTATTCTCAAAGTGTTATCAGTGTTACAAACCAATGTAACTTTTACTGCTCGGTTATATGTTTTGTATTTTTCCTATCTCAACACTATAACATTTAAAGAGAAGACAGAGTTGGCCAACAGACTGTTTACTGACAGAGGACTTGTTTAAATAATCTGGAAAATCTAAATATGTCTGACATGTGAAGCATCTGTTTGAACGGTTTAGCATTTTACAGCCCAATAACTGATTAGATGTGTCCTGCCTCTGAAATTAACTTGTTTGAGCTCCTCCAATGTTATTTGTTGCCTTTCTGAGTCATAATTTAGGAAACCTTCCTGTGTGTGATTAAATTCCTTAAACTGAGGTGAAATTTACATGCATAGTCAGATTTAACTTCTCCCTTCGCCTGTCAAGTACAGAAATTTGCATCTGAGAGATGCAGTGTGTCTTACATCCAGGCTCCACCTTCAGAAAAATCTTTGGAGGCTCCATCTGAGAGAGTGTGTGTGTGTGTGTGTTTATGTATTTTTGCCAGCATTTACAAAAATCTACTTACGTCTTAAACTCAGACAACCACAACTTTTAAGTGTACTTTTTAATGATGGAAATTTAGCAGAAATGTAAGTTTCATGTGATTTAGCTTATGGTTTAGATTTCAATACTTAACTAAATAAGTTTTACTGAGCTTTCCAATGTTTTTTTTAACATTGGGATTCAAAGAAATGTTGCTTTTAAGACGTGACACTTGATAATCACATAATAATTTTAATTTCTTGGATAATTTCTCACACTTGGATGCTTTTTCTTAACAACAATGTTCTCTAACTTTTCAAGGTTTAAAGTTTAAGGCTCACATCTGTGTCAAACATTTAAACTTAGGTTTTTTTTTTTTTTACATCTTCCTGTCAGGCCACAGCTCTTCCATCCTCTGTGTGCCTTCATGTAAAAGGAGATCGTCCTGACAGGCTTCTCCCGGCTCCATATGTGACACGTTTGGCTCTTTGTTCTCTCCCCAGCAGAGGCCTATTTTCATCCCAACAGACAGATCTTCCTCCAGACCTCTACCAAGAAAGACACTCACTGAGTAATAGTTTTATTATTCCTCTTTCCAAATAGTGGTATTTGGAAAATGTTTTGAGTCAGCAGCGGGATTTACCGCGAAACTCTGCACATCAGTAGCAAGCAGCCTACTCTCTGAAGTCACGTGGCGCAACATGCTTTGATAAACGCAACACTGTGTTGTGTCACTAAAAGCCAATTACACCATGCTTTTTCATGATTGATCTGCTTTGACAGTACTGGATGGCATTTAAATCGGCAGCCCCCCCCGAAGCCATCCCCAGGCATGAACGGTGGCGGTTACGGAGGGGTGGGAAGGGTTATGGGTCTTTTAATCTAATTTGCTTGGTTGCTGAGTTGAGTTTTGAGATCATCTGTTTTGAAAACGAGAGCGGGAAAAGCGCTGGAGATATCCGGCAAGCCTCTGCTCACTCAGCTCGGGGTAAGGCTGCTCGCTCTTACAACTTTGATTGTCCCCCCGTGTCGACAGCTCGATCCACAGCTTCAGAAGTACAAGGCGCTCACTGACACTCATAAAAGCGTGTAGGGAGGTGTCATATTGAACGCAGGATTGCTTTTTTAATCCCAGGCACATTGACTATTCTTGTCAATAGAGCCCCAATACAACTGCCAGCTTGAGCTTTTTTTTTTCTCCTGCAGGATTCTTGCTGGGCTTAATTTTCAAAGTGAACGCACAGATGCCAGGGAAGGGTTTTCTTTTTTCTCTCTCTCTGCCCCCTCCCCACACGCCCCTCTGCCACTCTCTTCATTTGTCCTGGAAGTCAGCGCCAAGAGCAACATGCGTGAAGCCGAAACGAACAGCAGGGATGCTTGTCCACCTGTTTCTCACCACTAAGTGACTCGATGGAGAGTATTCCCCTCACCTGCTCTCCTTTTTTAATTTTTAATCCCTCATATCAAAACTTCTTTTCGCTTTCATTTATTTTCATCATTTGAGAGAACGGATAAAAGTGAGAACCGTCTCTGGCAGAAACTTAAAAACACATGAAACTGATTTTTTTTTTCTTTTCTTTTTTCTCAATGTCAAAGAACAAATCTTCCCCTTTCTTGTCCGTCTCTCTGTTTGAATAATTATGATCCACATCATTAGACAAGTTCCCTCACTGTATCTAAATGAGAGCGTCTCCTTTCAGGGCTGGACATCACAGGTGTTCCCGTGGTTTCATGTCTCGAGAGACGTAAATCTTTGAGGATACTGACTATTAACCCATGCTCTAATCATGTAGTCTGAAGTGGGGAAGCGGAGGGAGTACAAAATCCTCCAGAAGAATGAATTAATGCGACCCGCCGAGGAATAAGTGAAGAAAGCGGCGAGTGTCCGTTTGCGAGGCTTAGGTACAACTGTCACAGTTTCCCTCTTCGCGGCGCAGCCCCCTTCATCTCCTCTTGATGGTGTCATGGAAGTGAGAGGCGTGAAAGCGCAGTGACACTCCACGAGCCCGTTCCACTCGCAGCCGCTAATTCATCATGACAAATGTGCTCAGATGATCTGGCCCAGCAGCACTAATGGGGAGAGGAGAGAGCGCACTTCATTTGCACAAGACCCACTCCAATTAATCCATCCAGCTTTACTCTGGGCTAATTGGAGCGGGGCCCTCCCTGCCTGTGTGTTGGTAATGTACCCGACACAGTTTTAACAGCCCCTGTTCCTAAAGATCATACTTTTTTTCTTCTTTTTTTTCTTCTTGGGGGCGGAGGGTGATTGTGCCGAAGGGCCGCTTGAGTTTGTAGAAACCTGATGTCCTAAAAGACAAGGCCCTCTCACAAACATTTGTTCATAATGAGCAACGAGCAGCTCGAATGTCCATCCCGTCACATATTTTTAGGCTCTATTTATAATCCTGTAGTTACTTTTAAGAACAAATATCCTACAAATTTAAAATGGCATATAAAACATGTCGGAGTCTTTGCCAAATGCAGGAAAAAAAAAAACACTAATAGGAAAATAAATGTGCAGAAAAATACATAGAAATCATCCAACGACTGTCAGAAGCTAAAAGCAGCATCACTACCGGCTTAAAAGGCTCTTTTGAAGTGTTCTCTCATCATGTTTTGGGTTGTTTTGACTACAGCAGTGTATGCACTACTATTTCTGTGTGTATTTTTATCCCGCGAGGCACTACGCTGCTTTGGCTCACTGAGGAACCTTTCCTGCCAATAGGGCGTCCTTTATCTAAAGTTAGAAAAGGTACGGCTGTTAATTAATCCATCAGAAATTGATTTTAATCTCTCGCAGCATTTGAAACTTCTAATACTCATCTGATCGGCCTCTTAGGAAAGCCAGCTGCTGATCCGGTCTTTAGTTGTTCTTTTTTCTCTGCCTGGCTGTCAGACGACGTCCTCGGCGCTTGACGTGAGACTTCATATTGGAGGAGCCGGCTGCATATTTAGCATTTTAAAAAGTTGGTCTGCGTGTGGTAGAAAATCTAGAACAATTGTTGGCCTGTCAGTTCGGCTTTATCTTAGAAAACTTACAAAGGTTTACCTCCTTGCCATACACGGCTGCCTGGGTAATGCTGCCTCCTGTGTCTGCAGACATATTTTTCTAAAGGTGTGTGTGGCACATCTGTGCAGCTATTGTTTATTCATGGAGTAAACCCTTTGAAATGTGTTAAGATACTTCCCACTCATTATAAAAATCCTGCCACCCATGGATTAGGACTTTGATGTCACCAATCCTGCTTCAAAGGCTTCTTTCACTGCTATTAATCACAGTTTAGCCTCTGAAGATATAGCCAGAGAAAACATTTGGACATCTTGTGCAGAAACTTTGAAATGTTCAGACTGTCTTGCATATGCTATGCTCATATCCTTTCTACTGTGTGCGTGTGTGTGTGTGTAGGGATGTTTGACTGCTGTGCATGCAGCTGCACTCCTGAGTCCATGGGATTCACAGAGATTTAGGCTCCTTCTGAACAGTCTTTTATGAGCCGGCTGCTGTATGAACACAAACACTGTAGTGTAGTTTCCACAGTTTGATGTTTTCAGTATTTCTCAATAAGCATTTCCATCATCCTAAGACTATCTGGGCTGTTCAAACTTTAACCTGTTTTTCATAACCATAATGATGTGGCATCTTTTTTTCCTTTCTGCATTTTGGGGATTTGACTTGTTGTTGGATCTTATTTGTGACTCTTGTCTAAAGCGCTTTAATGAATAAACTGCCCAATATGGAGACCATTTATATCCAGTGATCAAGTCTAGACTGACAGTTACGACACTTACTGAAAAACTCATGAATGTTCTGGTTTTCTTTAACTCATCTGATCACTTTTGGGGACATCAGCTTCACATGGTCATCACATATAGTTTGATTTTCACATGGGCATCATATGCAATTTGTGGGTTTCACATCAGCTTCACATGTTTGTTTTTCACATGGATATATTTTGCTTAAAAAAGTTTCACATGGGCATCAAAAGTAATTTATGGTTTGCATCGGTTTCACGTGTGTGGTTCACATGAATATCACATGTTGTTTCAGAATTTCACATGGATATCAAATTTTGTTTAAAAACGTTTTGCATGTGCATTAAATGTAATTTATGAGATGCATCAGCTTTACATGGCTGTCACACGTTTATGTTTTTGTCATGGGCATCATATGTAAATTGTGTGTTTCACATGGTCATCACATGTTTATGGGTTTTGCATCAGCTTCACATGGCATCATCTGTTTGTTTTTCACATGTGCATCACGTTTAAAAGTTTTATATGGGCATTGCGTTTTTTTGTTGTTTTTTTTTTTAAACACATAACGAGCTTGTGAAAGCCATACCCTATTTTAATGTGAAGCACTTTGTGGTTTTTATCTGTTAATAAAAGTGACTTGCTATTGTAATGATTTTATTTTCAACAGGAAATCTGGCGACGTCCAGGGCTCGGGTCACCGCTGCCTCCAGATCTCTCCCCCCTCAGCTCACCTCGGGACGCAGCAAGGTGCGATTCCACTGGCGTGAATCAACACATGATGCTTTTTATTTGTTGCTCACAGGCATCGCTCCATAAGAATCACAGTAAAAGGCTGCGCCGCGAAGCATAGCCATGTTAATTGACTACCCTGTTGGCTGTCTCGCTTGCGGAGAGGCAGCATCGCCATCTGTTACTTGGTTTCTGCAGCTTGAAAGTCATATATTAGATTTACAGACTTTTCTTGTTAACAGACAGTGAGGTGTTTGGCAAATTGGGGAAATGCATTAACCATCTTCGATAGATTGTTGTATCAGTTCACATTCAAATATTTTGTTTCTTTTACTTGCTAATAAATTATGCTTTAATAAGGTTTTTGTAACCGTCAGTTGCCAAAATTGTTCCTTTAAAGCAGCAGAGTGTACGTTTTCCCCACATAGCGTTCACTTTATAGTGTTATTTCTCTCTTTTTGTTTTTATATAACATAATTTAGACAACTGATGCTATGTTAGCATCTTATTTCTTATGGAATTTTAATTGAATTTTTTAAAAATTATTTTTTACATATAAATACTCAACTTATCACCATCCCAGGTGCGAAAAGGTATATTTTATTACAGTAGCAATACTTAATCTTTCACTTCAAATCTATGAAGTTTCACCAAGGGAAAGCAGACACAAACATGTTTTTTTAATCATGTCTTTTTTGTGACAGTCCTGGGTTCTGTCTTATGACCATCTTTTTTTTTTTACATACATTAGTTTCCAAACAGCTCAAATTTATTCTCATCTGACCAAATGACCTGGCTCCAAACAATTGCGCGCCTGCAGTTTTTTCAAATCTAAACAAATACATATTTGTTGTGGAGGCAGACTTACGAAAACCAGGTGCGACACGTTCCTAGCAAGAAAATATTGTGACAGCTTCCCTGCCTACATTTAGAGACATGAAGTCACCTGATGGTTAGAGTGAAACCCTCCTTCATGTTGAGTGTCTTTACTTTCTATTTCTCTTTTCCCTCTATTTCTATGTGATTTGCCAACATGTGTTGCACTGCAAGTCTCCAAAATACCTAATGAAGGTAAGACTTTAGTTGCAACAGTAAAACCTTCTAAACCTACAACACATACTTCCCCAAAACTGCAGAGCAGATCCAAATTGCGAGCAGTTTATGGACAAACATATTTCTGCAAAATCAACTGAACGTTCCTGTCAACTTTGAATTGTGTGAAGCTTCGCTTTTCAAACTTCAATCACAGGCTGGCAGAGAAAAATGTAAATCATCTCTTTTGAACTATTTTCCCCGCACAGCCACAATTCTGTGTTATCAATGTAAACAAATACTCTGTGATGTCTCTCTTAGATTATTAAAAAAAAATATAGCCCTCTTAAAATTAGACACAAACACACCACGTTTTAGGAAAAATAACCGTGGAAAATCATCTCCTCTTTGATGAGCTTCCACCAACTTCCACCTACTCACTTATTCTTGAAGGGGAAAAAAGACTTCCTAATAAGAGCTCAGTGGGAGTGATGCAATATGCATGCTGCCTTGTTCTCAATGGGAGCTGGAGAAAAGTTGACAGAAATGGACACTTGTAAAGAAAAAAGTTGCCAGATTAAAGTGATGGGCTGCTTGTTAGAATAGTGGAAATGGGTCCCAGATAATCATTTGCTCCTCTGAAAGCAGATCATACTCGAGTACAAAGTGTGCGAAGATCTCATTCTGTTCCTGCACACGGGGAGCATACCTTCCTTCCTTTGAGCAAGAATAAAAGAAAGTTTTCAGATATGCACGTTGCTACATTGGCTTGCCATAAAATATCTATTGCATCATTAATTTTGATGAAGCTATGAAATGCAAGGGCTGTTGGAAAGCTTAAACTGTGTCCTCGTTAATCCGTCGTCATTTGGATGACTGTCTGCTTGGTGATGGCAACTCTTATTACCCGGAATGCTCTGCAATTTTCCCATGCCCCTCAGCAGTGCCGAATTATTCTCTAGATTGTTAGCTTTAAGTGTTTATCAGCTTTTTGTTGCATCGACGACGACGACATGGTTAGTGCAGCTGTGTATTCCCAAGTTGCCTGTTCGGTGAAAGGAAAGCCGCTACAATAATGTCACTTTTACCTCTGCCGAGGACGACCAGGCTGCAAACAAACAGCATTACATTCGGATCTCCTGTGTTGAGCTGGACCTGCTTTGTCAAAGCAGGGTTTTAACAGTGAATGTCTGTGTTCAGGTGGACACTATGGAGATGATGCGTCACCCAGAAGAAACCACCAACATGAGGAGGCAGACTGTGGCATCTTACTTTCGTGTAGGTGTTCTCAAAAAAATGTACACATATTTATTTACGTACAATAAATTAACTTCTTTAAACATGTACATTTTTAAATGTGTCTTTTGTTTTTAAGATTCTAGAGGGTATCTAATAATCTTGGGGGGGAAAAAAAAAAAAATCCATGCCGCAATCTGTCTTATTGTACTTCATGCACAATTGATGAACTTCGACAGTATCAATAGCAGCCAATAGCAAGATCAAAGAAAGACTAGAGACAGTTTGAAAGAATCTATAACCCTCTCTGGCACTCAGGCAATTCAGATAAAATGAATCAAACTTATAATCATAGATGATAAATTAGCATCGTCTGTGAGTCTACATCAAAAATGTATTTTATAAAATTAACATTATGTTGTACAACTCAGGACCGGGATAAGTTCTAGTTTGAGAGCAGAAGTTTAAAGACATGAAGCCGTTCCAGCTTCTTATAGTATCATGACAAATGAAGGTCTTTATTTCTGCCTCTCCTCCTAACGCCCGGCTCAAACGTAGATGCTCATTCAAATCAGTAAAATCATATTTGACAGCAACTGTGTAGTAAACATTTGAACTGGCCAGGTGTGCATGCCTAATGAAATCTGAACCCTCTTCAAACCGTTAGCAAACAAGACGTCTCATATTTGTGACGCGTTTGTCCTTCGTAGTGGGAATTATCACATTCCCTTGAACACTAAATGTCAACTTGAAAAGTTTAGGTTCTCAAAGCATCACTGAGTTTAGCACATAATGGTTGTTGCTATAAAGTTTATACCGGTAATCATTAATGAGTACCTATAACCACTAATGCAGATTAATGGTTTAAACAATAAACCATTAATTTACACTCATTAATTTGCAGGCAGTTAAACCAGTTGGACACATCTGGAAACACAGTTTCTGTTTTTTGTTTGTTTGTTTGTTTTTGGACATTTTCCTCTCGTGTTTCAACACACAAAATTGAGAAAAATACATGACAACAGTGTGTATTGGTAATAGTAGTTAGGAAGTCCAACTGGCTTTTCAACCTGCAACTTAGAAGTTTTGGTTCGATGTCAGAGTTCTGACATTGAACCAAATCAAAAGCATTACTGAAACAGACTATACTCCCCTTTAGGAGTAGTAAACATTAACCTGGTAGTGAATGATCAAGTGATTTGAAGTGTAGGCATATCATGTGTGCCTCCTTCTCATACCACTTTTCTGTGGTGATTAAATATTAGCAGTTTTAAATAAGCAATATATAACTTTGTTATGGATTTTATACTTTAGCATATATGTTATATAAAGCTAAACCAAGATGCTACACATTTTTGGGACTTGTTAAAAAATTCTGTGGCATAAAAGGGTCAAGTTAGAGACTCCACATCCACCGTAGATAATTCCATATCGTATGGATTTAATGCAAATGTATGCTCTGTAATGTTTGTTAATTAATCTCATACTACACTGTGCAGACACTCTGTCTACGCTGATGAAGATTCAATCATCTCGACTTGTAGAATTCTGAAAGTAGCTTCATGTAAAAGGAGTTAGTAATTAATTTAACTTTAAGATGCACAAAACAAAGCATTTCAGGTATATTCTATTTAAATTTCTTTTAAAAAGTGTACAAATTGACACTCCATGTGCAAATTGACTGACTTTAAATGTGACTTTAAATATCACATTTAAAGCAAACATTCAATCTTTAATTTGTGTTTTTAGCAACGAAATAAATAGATCCTAGAAGTTCTAAACTTTTATACGGTCTGCATTCTTACTCCAAGTTTTTTGTAATATTGCGAAGACCAGCATTACAGTATATGAAAAATATATATAATGCAAAGAAATATGTCAGATAATAAAAAGTATGTTTGTCCATTCTCTGAGAATTTAGAAAAGGTTAATAATTCAGGTACTGTACAGCTTCATATCAGGCTATGTGGAAAAACTTATACCTTTTTTTTTTTTGTAAATAAAATTTGTTTTTACAGTACTCATGATCTCCTCCTCCCACTGTTTTCTCCACAGTACTCCCTGATGGACTTGCTCTCCAAGATGGTGATGGGTCAGCCGCACTTTGTGCGCTGCATCAAACCCAACGATGACAGGCAGGCGCTGCGCTTTTGCAAGGAGAGAGTGATGGTGCAACTGCGCTACACTGGGATCCTGGAGACGGTCAACATCCGCCGACAAGGCTTCTCCCACCGCATCCAGTTCGAGGAGTTTGTCAACAGGTTGTAGCGGTGGTGATGAGATGGGGTTGCGTTTCCACTCTGCGTCGCTGTTCTGCACCCTCCAGAGGGGACGCAGAGCTAGTTAGCGCCGCTCTGTATCACACAAAAACACGAGTTCTTTAATTAGATGGAAGTCCAAGTTGAGCCGAGCAAGAGGCTGAGTAATTGGCAGTCATTAGTGATGGAGCGGCACCTAATCTTTGGACTACTTTAACTGGGTGGATACTGTAGTCTGGGAAAATATGAAAAAATTCAAACAGGGTGGAACTGTAATTATAAGGGGAGATGCATTTTAATGGGTTTTCTTTTACTCTTCATAACGAGAGTTTGTTCTTGCACCAAATGACCTGGAAACACTCGAACCTAGCCTCCCCGTCCCACTGGTATTATATCAGAACACAATTAAAACAAGCTTCATCATTAGGGGAACTTTATGTAAGGGTGCCTTTTTTTTCCCCTAGAAATGTGGAACATGATCTTATAACTCCCACTTACTTACACAATGCTTTCAACATGGCTTGAACTTGAACATCCTGAGTCATTTCAAGAAAAATAAAAAACATATTTAGACGAGTCTGAGAGAAAACTCCTCATGTTTGATCAATGTTGCTTTGAAAAATTCATCCACTTCTAATGTGGAGGCTTTAAAATGATCTGAAATTTAATTAACTTGGGCTTTCGGCCAGTAGGAGAAAACTCTGAGATGACGGGTTAGTCTCACTGCTGAAAGGAAGCTTTAAAGTATTTGCTTAATTTTGGTGAGCTGAAACTTTGAGCGAGCTTGTGATGCTTCCTTGCATGTCCTACTTTTGCTCCTCGTTTCAGAGTGATTACTGGAGGATCATGCATGACTTGACATGAAAACAGTTTTTTTTTTTTTTTGTTGTTGTTGTCTTTTTCACGTGTGATTCTGCTGGAGAGAGTGTGCCGCCTCGGTTTTAACCTCGGCTTCTGAGTCGGCATCATCCCACCTGAGCCCGGCCGGGGTTGTGCAGACGGACCCGAATGGCTAAACTGCACCCCTAGTAAAAAACTGATTTAAATTTGCGCTCCCATATCAAAGGTTCGTCTGATGTTGCAGCGCTTTGTATTTACCATCAAAGAAATAACAGGTATCAACAGGAATTAGTATGAAAGGCTTTAGACCAGGCAGGGAGGGGAGTTCAAAGAACTTTTTTCTTCTTGTTGTTCTTCTGTTTTTGACCAACTCCGTGGTGCTGGAGATGAACCAGGGGCTCTGGAGCCTTGATGTCCCTGTTCAAACACTCACAAGCACCCTGTTCTGTGCTGCTATTCTTTAAACTACAACAAGAGAACCCGAACTCAGACAATGTGAGCAATAAGCAGCAGCGGGATGGATGCACGGTGATGGGTCTCAGATGGTTGCATTTTCAACAATCTTGCAACAATATGCCTCTTTTTTGTCTGAACAGCTGATTTTCCAACTAATCACAGTTTTAAAGGCAAAGATGTAGCGCACGTGGCTGACAAAATTAAAAGTGCTGTGGTTTCCAATTAAATAAAAGAGGACGTCAGGAACAACTTTTCCTCTTTCCACACTTTTTTAGATAATTTTGTTATTTTTGTTGTTGTTTTGCTTTCATAAACAGCTTTCAAATGTTTTTATAGTTCCTTTTTTTATCATTAACATGTACTAATACACAGATTTCTCTGTACTTTTTGGCATCCCAGTGAAAAATATGCGAAAATCTTTAGAATCAATTAACTTTTAATACATTAGATTACCATCACAGAGAAAAATTTTAATGTTAAAGAAATCATATGTTGTCTAAAATGTTACACTGGAAAAAAAAAAATTACTTGTTTTTACAACCCCTACAAATTCCTATGAAACAAATTATTTGTTTTTTTAAATCGATCAGCGTATTAAGGAACATTTAATTGGTAGTCTTTGATTTCCTGCTTCCTTGCAGGTAAATATGATGTGACATGAGGCAAAAGATTACAAGACACTCTTCAAAATTGGAAGGACAATAAAACATGTCTTTGCAGTTAAGCGGATGTGTGCAGACCTTTGTAAATAAGGATGTGACTATAGGAAAATATCTGCTTGTCTGAATTTGTCTATATCTACAACTGAAGCATTAATTGAAAAAGTTTTAAACCCCTGGAACAATCTGCATGCAGACCAAAGTTGTAGCCCCCGTCAAGATGAACAGGAAGGAAAGGGAGGTAAAAATAACTTCCAAAGCTCATTGTTAGAGAACTGCAGGAAATATTTATTCAAAGCTTTTTAGGAAAATCTTTATTTTGTGATTAAAAAAAAAAATCTTGTTTTGGGATTTTCAGGTCATTTGCAGAAGTCAAAGGTTTCAGCTTTTGTAATTTTATCTTGTTTGTGTTTGTCTCACAGATATTACTACCTTGCATTTCGCGCCCACCAGATGCCCGAAACAAACCGAGAAAACGCAGTCGCTATACTGGAACGGGCCAAACTGCAAGGCACGGTGTTAGGGAAGACAAAGGTAGCATGATTTCGTTCTTTTAAAGTTTGGGTTTGCTTGTGTTTTATTATAAAAGCCAAACTTAAAAAGAAAGAGAGCATAGGTGAACTGAATGTCCTTTCAGGTGTTTCTGAAGTACTACCATGTGGAGCAGCTGAACCTGCTGCTGCGGGAGGTGATAGCCCGGGTGGTGGTGATGCAAGCTTACGCTAAAGGCTGGCTGGGAGCCCGCCGATACCGGAAAGTAAAGGAGCAAAGAAGCCGCGGCGCCGTCATCATCCAGTCAGGTGGAGTTCTGTTAACTTAAACAGGAAATAATCAAACATAAACCAAAAACACACAAATGAGTTCCCGTGTTTTGTCTTGCTCTGCAGCGCTGAAACAGTTGCAGTTTAAATGTTTAGACGTTTCCTCGTCTCTTTGTGGTTTGTTGTCTGTGAATTTTAGTGAAAGACATAGTTTGATAACCACAGGTTGACCCACGAGGGTTAAGAGCAATGCTTCAGAGCAAACAATAAGGCCTCTGAGAGTTCAAAGGGAGCCGTTCTGTGGCCACCTGGTTTAGCCGTGTTTTGAAGTGGGATCTTGTGTAGTATCTGCAGTCTGTTTTGTTTCACAGAGGTAGGTCAGGGATCTCGCTCACACACATTGTTTTCTCCCTCTTCTTCTAGCCTGGAGGGGCTATGCTGCGCGGCAGAATCTGAAGCAGATAAGAAAGGAGCGGGAACAAGCTGCAGTCCGCATACAGTCAGGTACGAAATGTTTATTTTGCTAAGAAGTGCGTCGCGTAGCGATGCGCAACATCTGGACCGTCTTGTGTAATTCTGTATGGGAGAAATTTTTCAAAAAGAGCGTGGACAAAGGTCTACAAGCCTTGCATCCTTGTGGAACACCTTTTTGATCTCTCCGAGTAGCCCGCAAAATAGTAATTATTAATTAATAATGCATAGAGAAACGCTTTTGAAAGTTTGGGCAGCATTTGGTCCCCATGTTTCTGAAGAACTGTGCATACTGAGATCCGTCTTTCCTTTCATCTCATTCCCAGTAAAGGCAAGAGAGGGGCTTATCCCTTCTGTTTCCTCACGACTTCCTCTCTCAAATTCCTGGCCTATTACACAGCCCTCACATACCAGAAACAAGATGCCTTTTTATACTGTCAACCTTTTCATCTGAAATGTAAATTAATTCTTACTCAGTGTGCCTTGACGAAGATCAAAGTGGGCACATTAACCTTCCCAGCCCCAGCCCCCCGATCCTCTGAGCCTCTCAGTGGAGGACAAGAGAGGGTGCCAAAAGGGGCTGGAGAGAGGAGGGCAGGGGGAGGAGATCTGGCATTGTTTCCTCTGGCTCTCTTAAGGGCTGCCCTCATCTGCCACATGGAGCTTCTCAGTCGCCTGCACACCTTGTGTAAATGTGCTCCATTAAGCCCTTGTAAATAAAGCTGCTGAATGGGTAAACATGGTTTTGGTGTGAGGAAAGCCTCTCTGTCGCAACTGCCTTTCTTTTCAGACAAGGGTGTTTGTGTGTGGCCGCCGGGGGTTCACGGGATGGTGGGGTGTGGGGGTGGGGGGGACCTGAACCTGACACAAGTGGGGCCTCAGCCCCCAACCACCCCCCCCACTCCTCCCGGCACAGCACTCCAGCACATTCACATTGTGTGTTCTCCGCAGCTTATAGCCTTTGAGGTGGGCTGCATTTGCATCTTGAAAATAAACAGATGCCTTTCAAATGTATGAGCCTGGTGGCTTCTCAGATCTCAGCAGGACCCGAGGGACGTGCTCACCATCGATCAGATTAGGCCATGCAAAGGAGAACCATTGCTCAATAATGTACTTGAGCATTCTTTCCCTGTGCATATAATTTTGGCAGAAAAGCACAAAGCGGGCCGAGGGACTAACCCGGCATGCTTCTTTCACCCTCCGTCAGAATCTTAATACGTCTCAATAATAACACAAGCTCAGCTTTAATGAGTGCTGAATTTATTTCTTTATACATATATTTAAATATTTAGATATATGAACCCCACTGAAAACCTCATGGTTGTTCTACCAAACATTGATTTCTGAGCTCTTCCTGAGTTAAAACATTAGTATTGTTGTTTCTAAATGAATACGAACTTGTTTTCTTTGCATTATTTGAGGTCTGAAAGAACAACATTGTTATCGTTATTTATTCAATTTTTCATTTTCTGCAAATAAATACAAAATGTTTGCTTGGAAGTTTTGAGACATGTCAGTAGTACATAGAATAAAAGAACAATGTTTATTTTACTCAAACATGTAAAGTAAAATCAGAGAAGCTGATCATTTTAAGTGGTCTCTTAATTTTTTTCCCAATTCTGTATATATGTTATATTCATTCAATAAATGAATCATCTGGAAAATCCTTTTGTTTCATAATTATGTCAAATCTGTATTTCTGTTCATTATGATGATTTTTTAACTTGCAACCAATAAAAACACAACATCTATTAAAATATTATCTTCAGCTAATTAAATGCCTGCCTTTAATACCTATTTAAAGGTATTAAATGAGTAGTGGCCAGTCAGGTCAGGTTGTTGTGTTTAACAGGTCAAAGTTCTTCAGCTTAACAAATAACCAGAAAACCAACTTTTATAAATGGACAAGTAGAATACAAAGAAAAATCTAAATTTCCCAAAGGTATATTAATCAAGACTAGTATAAAAGATTCGGATCATGACTCTACATTGTATTGTACAACGTGGAAAGGAGACAAAACCACAGAGTTCATCTCATGGTGTCATCCTGTGCAGTTTACAGGGGCCATCGAGTCCGTCACGTCCACGGATCCCCAGGGCAACGATGTCACAACGAGGCCAGAGGAAAGACCACCAAAGAAGAGCACACAAGGTGAGATTAGGATTTATAGTCACTGAGTGTTTCAGTCATTTCCTTTTTTGATTTACTGTGCAAAAGAAGCTCTCTGAAGAAGCCATTTTACTGGGCTGATTTGCTTGGGGTTTCTGTATTTAACCTCCCCACAACATGATTGCTGTCGTTACTTCAATAATCTGCATTGGTGTTATACTTAAATAAATTTAATTTTATCAACTCATTGTGTTAAACCATGTTTGTTTCTGTCACGAACCCACTGAATAAGTAATTTTGGAAATCCCGTAACAGAGCTATTCATGCTACTAACTTATTAACTCAACCACAGTCACTTTATAATTATACTCCATATTAATATAAGGAATTTCTTGGAAATTATTAGCCACATTTGTACCATCCATTTATGGTTGCCATACCAGTAATATATTTGGTGATATTTGTTTATATATTTGTTTATGGTGTCAAATTCATGCCGAAACTCGATAGGAGAAATATGCCATCCTGATTTAAAAAAATGTTTTGTGAGAGCAAGTAATAAGATGTTCTGGCAAAGCCTTCAAAAGCGGTGGTATTGTTATTGTTATTAATATTATTGCCTGATATTACATTGCCAAAAAGTAAGTTGTCAACAATCCCATGTTGTTGGGATGGAAACGATGAATTTCACATGTTTCCATTTATCTGGATAGACTCACTACTACTCACCCAAAGTTCAAGTAAAGTATTCATTCATATAGTTCAAGTCATATTGTCATTGCGATTTTTACCAACATTATGGCATCTCTCATGTTTATTGATATTGCACAATTTATGCGTTTTGGTTCTGCTGGAGGTTCCTTCCTGTTAAAATGGAGCGATTTCTCTCTAAAGTAATTGGCTCAACTTACTTGGATGAACAACTTTTTACTGATATCGATTTAAAGATGAAGCAAATTAGATTTTTCTGGTATGTATATGTTTGGACTGTAATTGAGTCTGAATGTGACCATGTGGCTTGACTGGATTGAAATGAACTGGATTCATCTGATTTAAATTCAAACCAATTGGAGTTTATGGAGCTGCATATGAATTAGACCTTGTTTGTCTTGTAAAGTGCCGTGAGATTACATTACATAAATAAAGCCGAGCTCGATTTGAACTGAGTTGAAAGTCCTGCATCCTAAACCTGTCATTCATTTTCAACACTCCTGGAAGGGCTACTTTTACCGTGGAGCGTGTTGCTGTTTCACCCCAGAGAAGAAAGCTCCTCCTCGTGCTCCGCCTTTCACCGTTTTATAAATGTAATAAATAACTTTCCACCAAGATAGCACACTTGTCTGACCACAAATAGGGCTGGGCGCTGCACTGGTCTCCAGATGTACGAGCTGGGGGCTTTGTGTTTATTCAGCACATGGGCAGGCCAGTCATTAAGAAAGTATGCGTGAGGCATGAGAGCAGCCACTGACTGAACAGCATCAAATAGACGATAGACTTTGAGCTCTGGGTTTTATCAATTATCACAAATCCCCCGGAAATGTTTCCTACAGTAGCTTTCCATTAAATGCGCTATAACACATCAAATGCTAAGCTAATTCACAACAGCAAAAAAGCCTCATTCAAATGTTTGAATTTTGTGGTCAACACTCATCTCCAGATTTCAGCTCCAAAATACTAGATTTACACATCTGAAAATGTTGTGCTTGTTATATACTCGAACTGAGCCGTGCCTCATTGGGGATTTTCCTCTCCATGTTTACAATCATATTCCTCGGTGAGAAAAACTTCAAACCTCCACTTAACAATTCTGTTTAATCAGTGTTGGAATCTCTCCATATATATTTATTTTGACATGATCTGGCCCATTTTTTCTTCCTGTAAGATCTATATTCTCACCTACACGCTGTTCTTCTCCCTTTTGATTCCCCTCTCCTCCGCCAGGCTTCAGCTCGGTGTTTTGCATCCAAACAGCATCACCAGGCTCCAAACTGGAGGAGATCTCATTCCTCCAGACTCGGAGCATGGCTGCTGCTGACATGTTTTGTTGTGTGCGCACACGTGGGCTCTTCTGTGTTTGTTTTTGTGAATAATGCAGCACAAGTGATCGTGCTGAGACAGACGTTCCCAGATATTCCCATTCATATTCAGCAAATTGCATAACATGTATAAAAACATAAACTCAAGATCTTTTCACGATTTCCTGATGTTGTTGCAGAAAGAAAAGTATTGCAGAGAATTTAAGAGTTGGGGTACTCTGTCTCTTTCTAAAATAATTCACCTGAAAGGTAATAAATAAAATCAGCACTCAGGTAAAGTAATTTGAGCTTAAATGTTGATAGAAAATGAACAAATCTGGACTTTTTAATAGCGTTCCAAACCCTGGATGTCCACAGACATCTTGTCCATTTAGCTATGCAAGGCTGACCAGTTTGGGGGAATTTTTCTGAAATCCAGCTTTCAGACTGAACATGTGTGCTCTTGGATTATGGCATAAAAATCCCCCCATAGAAGAACTGCTAACCAACGTTTGGTGATGTTATGTACTCTGCCTTATATTACCCTGTTAATACCATCTGGTTAAATTAACTGTTACTATAAAAATAGCAGAACAACTAAAATGAATAACAAAGTTTCCTTAGAAACTTGCACTAAATTCAGCTTTTGTTTATTCCACACTTTATAGTCTTCCACTTCTATGCAAGTAAAGTAAAACACTAATCTATAAAAATAACCTGCTGCTGACACTGTCTTTAAGTGTATCTTGTTACTTGTGATCCGTTTCTCAATCTTTAACTTGGATTGATCACCTGTCTGCGCTAGATCTGTGGTGTAAATCTTAACTTCAACGTCAAAATAGTAAGATAATATAATATAGACAGCATTATTATGACAATATTAATCAATGTTTTGCATTATTTTAGATGCAGCAAAAATTGTTTCTCTGTTTTGAATAAAATCAGTTTGATCGTGTTATTTCTACAAAACTGTGTGCTAATATTGGGAAACTGTTTTTTTTTTTACTTAAAATGATCATTTTGTGACAATTCTAACTAAAATTGAATGTTTTACCAATATTACATTAAAAAAATTAAACTTTAACTTAGTCATCTGAGCAAAAGCATAGAATAGCAGTGTACAGAATGTACCGTATGATTTGGCAAAGTGCCTAAATGCTCTAATCATTCATCATCTAACAAACTTTTAACTCCCACACCCGGTGCAGCTATATAATATCTATTGTTATTTTGTTTTTAACTGATAAATGTTTACTTCTACAGGTGCAGCCCAAAGACAGAAGAGGCTCATCCAGATGACTTACATGAAGGAAATGTAAGTCACAGAACATCAATAAGCATTTTGTTTCCCTTTAAAAAAAGAAAAAAAAGGCTTCTTGTCTACAAAGCAGCTTTAACCCAGATTATTCTTTGGGAAATTTTTCGAGTCCTTGAGACAAAAGAGTTCTCTTGCTCCAACCTCCGTCTCAGCGGAGAAGACAGGGTGGTACAGGAACGGGGAGAATCAAAAGGCTGGAAATTCACGGCTGAGAATAAATGCTCGCTCTTCCCCCGAGGTGATTTGTCTTTGCGCTCCTCTTTCTACAGATGTTAGACCCCTTTTTTAGTAAAGACCTGAGGTTCTTTGGTAGCACTTTGATATCCTGCTCGGATTCAATATGTGAAATAGAAGAGCCACTCCGTGACTTGGAGCACATCGCAGGCTTTGAAGTCTGATCCAATTTTTGCTGCTCACCATTTGATGTTGAAAGGATGAAATGAGGAAAATGTACAGTTTTTGCCAGTAACTCTGCTGAGCATATGTAAGATTTAAAAAAGCAAAATCCTTTGGAGGATGTACTTAGAAATGTTAAGCAGATTAATACTTTCCTATAGCTCTTTTATTCAAAGATAAAATTAAATATGAGAGGAAGTCTGTGCTGTTCCTCCCCCCCTCACAATTAAGTCAGTGTGCTGCTTGTTTGCTAGGAGGTAGGACCAGTAAAAAGGGGGATATGCAATTGCATTAGCATTTGATTAACATTGCAAAGCACATTAATGGGTCTCAGTTATATGAGTGCCAAATTGTAAATTGTAAATAAATGAATGCAACATCTACATGACTAATTTGAAGAAGAAAAAAAAAACAACACATTAGAAGGCTTGCTTTAACTTGTATGTATTCGTGTGGTGCTTTCATTGACATTGCTCTTCTGGGTGTGTTTACGCCTCCTCTTTCAAGGTTGGCCCTGACAGCCAAGACAGACAAGTGAAAGACATCAAGAGAGACAAAAGCAGAGGAGAAGACGGTGTAACGAAGCCTTGCAGCGAGACAGCCAGGCTGCAAGACGTGCAGTGTAAACAAGGTAAGCCCGCGCGCAGAGCTGGTGGGTGCAGGTAATTACACAAAGAGACAGTAGAAATCCCGCTTTAATGGATAAAGTGCCATTTTTAATATGGGAGCCCTTTCAACCTTTTCATCCTATCCAACTCCCCCCCCACCCCCCCCACTGACATTTTTGTTGACAGCAGAAAAAAAAGAGAGAGACCTGCTTTTATGAGTGATCATTTCTGCGGTATTTTAATAACCAGGGTCAGCTCATCACCAGCTTCTTGTGGCAAGTGAAAGGGGTTTGGGGGGGGAGGAGTGCTTTGAAAGTGGCACCAGAACTTCAAAAGCTTTGATTTTCCCACGTGGCGGGCTCTTCGCTTTGGATCTCATCAGCGACTCTAATAGACCTGCACAGTGACGGTGACAAGAAAATACACAAACCCTGATTTGTTGAACATATGTTTGGTTTGCTTTTTGCCCCAGGCGATGAATTACATTAATTCCTGCTGCCTGGAAGGGCTGAGTGGGTGGCTGCGCAGGGGGCCTCCGATTACGGCCCTCGCCCAGCCCACCACTGTATGGGCAGCCTCGGTAATAGGGCCCGGCTCTTCATTAAGGCTGTTAGAGGGGTACGGAGTGAGAGGGCCGAGGTGGAACAGCGTTTAGCGGTGCAGCTGAGAGATTACGGGGATTAGACATGATAATGTAACACAGACAGGGCTCTCCAGCGGGCCCAGGATTAGTGTCAGCGCACCGCAGCAGGTCTGGGTTAGATATCGGCTAATTCGGTAATGCTGCGTACAGGTGACCCCCGCTTGCAGGCTTCATGGCTGCTCAGGGAGGCGGCGTTTGATGAATGTATGGAGTCAGAGTGATTATGGAGAGAAAACACGGCTTTTTGCTGAAATGTGTCTTTGGCCCTGGAGCCTTCTGTCAGAAGACACACGTTTCTGAAGAAACAGCTTAATTGCAGCTCTTGTTTTTCTTCTTTCCCTTTTTAAATTTGAAACTTAGGAGGATGGTGCAGGATGTTTATTTTCACACTTAAAAAGCCACATATCTATTCTATGACTTGCTCTAGTGACTGAATAATTTTAGTAGACATCCACTAATGAAATATTTTAGGCTTATTTTCGATGTCCAGCTTTTGTAAAGTTTTAACCTGGACATACAGATTTTAGGCATTCATGAAAACTTTCATTTGCATCACTCAAACAACCTCCTGGGCTTCCTGCCCTTTGCAGTCATCATTTATTTGCACGAGTAGCAGAGGCGATGTCACACTGTGTGAGAGGGCAGTCGGTGTAAAACGGGCTTTTAATCCTTTAAAACATTAGCAGTTAGCACTATTAGCTCAACTAACTGTAAATTGCAACGTCACAGTGCTATACATTTAATTATGTTCTGTGACAAAGTGACATCCTAAAGCATCCAGGTATGATGCATTCACCATACCTTGAGAATGCACTATTCTCAAGGTATGGTGCATTTTACTTATCTGACCAACAATTCATTTTATTTAGTTACATTTTGTTAGGTGCTTCACACAACCAACAGGTTTTTATTGCTCGTTTGTGATTGTTTTGCATCATTAACTTAACAACTCCTCCTTCTGAGCAAATCGCATGGTGACAAGGGAAAGAAAACTGCACTGAATTTACTCATCTGATATATAAAAGGAAAATATATGATAGCAGCCAGAATAAGTAGCCAACATCTCAGTAAATTATATCATTGTCTACACATTTATTATGTGGTTGTATCTGCAGCCAAATCTGTAGGGTTGACAAAAATAAGTAAAAACTACCTTATTAATGCAAATTAGTGTTTTTCTGTCAAATATTTTGTGAATTCACAGATCCAATTCTCCCTGCACCTCCTGCAGCCTATTAAGAGTAAGAATTACTCATGCTTCCCCATCAGCCTTTAAAAGTCTCCAATAACACCAGAAAAATTGTCACTGGTTATTTTTTGAAACAAGTCAGTAGGCATGTCTGATTGCAACTGGGCCAAACTGTGAACGACCATTATTCCTCCGTAGGAAACACAGTTCAAGTTTAAGTAGTTTCTTGCACCTATTGGGCTTTCTCTAACTTTATGTTAGAAAAAAATCTAGGTTTGAGACATTGTCATGCAGTAGCAACTTCTGCAGTGAAGAGAGTTGCTGGGACCTTCTCAAGGTATGGTGCATTTACTTATCTGAAAATAATCAGATTTTTTTTTTGTTTGTTTGTTTCTTACCAGTTGGTCACCAGTTTGGTGTATCTACTAAAAGGGTCAGAGGTCAACAAATGGGGGGTTTTGGGTGGTGTTTGAAAAAATAAACTAAAAAACAAAAATGGTTCAGCATATTTATGCTACAAATGTTCCTCAGCCAAGAGCTTTGATGCGAGTCTCTTCTGCTGTTCATTTGTAGGTCATTAAGTAATTTACATCTGGGTCACATCTAAAACAAATTAAGGACTTATGTGGGTGTATATATTGGCTATATTGTTTTTTTTTTCCTAAAATAAAGCTAAAATAATGCAAAATAAAATTAAAATTCTTCACAAACTAAATAAGAATGTTCTCTCCAATCATGCCAATCAAAATCCAATTTTTTAAGTAAATTAACTTCTCTGGATAAAAAGTTTATTCAAAGAGACAGATTAAAGAAGATTGATTGCTTCATTTAATAAAAGACTTTGAAAGCTAAACTCCTTTAGGCTTCAAGTTACAAAGGCCGTGTGGTAAAGACTGATATTTTGTGATCTTGTAACCCCTCCTGATTTATCTTGGGGGGGTTTGAGGTTTCAGTTCAGACCTAATGGGATACTTCTCTCCCACTGTCATCCTCCAAACGTTTTCCACTACGTCGGCCACTGTTGCCGTTCTTTTTCTTATAAAGCAATACGAATTTAAGGCATGGAAACCATTTTTGCCTGTTCCGATTTATTTAGATCTCCTGGACTTCTTCAACTAACTCTGTTTTTTTGCGTGAAGGGTGCGCAGATTTCGAGGCATTCACCGTCGCCCCTTTTACCGCCTCGTTTACATTCTGAGGTCTGCTTGTGGCGTCTTCAGGAAACCCCATTTGAATATGTTGAGGGAGGCCACGGTGGCTCAGGCACCCGGGGCACACTTTGATCCCCCGCTGATCTGAGAGGCCTCTGAGCGAGTCGGGTAAGCCTTGCCCCCTGCCAGATGTTTGGAGAGCAGGGCTCCTTCCTGCGTCTCATCCTGCTGTCGCCTCTGGTGATCGCGTCGGGCTGCAGCTCGACCCGCACTGTTTCGGGACACCAGTGGAGAGAAACAGAAAATTAGCCGTGGAAATCGAATTACTCCACCCCTCCAGACACGTGCACCCGCACACACTCTGCAAGCCGCCTCCATGATGGTAAAACACAGAGTGGGCTGAGGGAGTGGGGGGCGGGGGGGCGTGACCTGACGGACGTCGGGTCGTTTCCGTGTGATCCAACTAAGCTAGGTTAGATTTGTTTCTTTTAAACCTGACACCAAGCTAATCAGCCGCTCCCACTTTTTTTTTTTTTTTTTTTAGATAAATGCTCATCTGTATTTTATGGCAGAAAAACAGCATTAAAGCAGTTTGTACTCCAGGCAACACTAACCTTTGATTTCCCGTGTTTTGTCAGTAAAAACGCCACACATACAGCATGTTGTCATGTAAGCCGCACATATGAGACGACGCCTTCCTTCGTCACCTGTCAGCCGCCTGAATATTAACACAGCACGTTGGGAAAATGAGTCACAGAGGCGTGCGGAGAAAGAAAGCTTTCTGCTAGCAAGTGGCAGATATGATCAGAGTGCTGCTTATGCTGCTCAGCGTGGTAAACAGGATGGTGCCGAGGATCAGTCAGAGCTGACTTTATGATTTATGAAAGCCGAGCTACTTATGTTAACAGGCTTTCTGCAGATTATAGTTGTGGTAAACATTCGTGTCAAGAGAGAGGCAGATAAAGTGGAGCCACAACACAGAGCCCAATTACTTCTGTGCCTTGGAAAGTGGTTAACCTGGTTGTTCAACAAAGAAGGAGAGGAATACGTCGGAAGTTCGACTTTTAGAGTTATTCTTATGTCCCCCCCTCTGTGTATAACACGGTTCAAGTCAATAAGAATTGATTTTGTGTGTCGCCCTGAGCTCTTTCTGCGCTTCAGAGCTGCAGCTTTTACCCACACCGAGGTCACACTCAAAACCACATCTTGTTTTCCTTCCCTCCCTCAACTTCCCACATGTCGTCCCACAAGGGTAACAGCCACCAGGTGCTGCTCCACAAACTTCCACCACTTCCAAATCAGCAGCAGCAGCAGCGGCGGCGGCAGCAGCATCACTGTATCAACACGCATCTGTCAGACAAATGATCCACCCTCTCCGTGTTCTCTAGACAAATACTCTCCCACCCTCTTGCTGTCTCTCAGCCTTTTGATTCATCTAACTGTCTCCGCGTATCGCCGCGTCTCTGCCGGATGCCTTGAGTTTTAGGCAAATTACAGGCTCGACGTAGCGGCAGCGGAGATTTGGAGGGGATAGGAAAGACTCAACTTAACGGAAGGAGTTGCCTCTGTCTGACGCTACCTACGTAATCCTCTTAATGTCAGTGGGAGTAGTTAACAGGATGTACTTCCAAACTACTCATCATCACAATTCCAGCAGAATAATCTCCCCAGACATAAAAGCAAGGTGCAGAAATTATGCTCTTGATGCTCTTTAATTTTTCTCATGATTTAGTGTATGGCGCTTAGCTAACATATTCAAAAACCTTGAACTTTTCCATATTTTGTTACAGTTGCAAACTTCAAGAGAGCACTGTTCAAGTCCATCATGCAGAAATGGAAAGAGAATGGCAGAACCGCAAACCTGCCGAGACATGTTAGTCCCACAGCCAAGTATCCCGTGGAATCTGGGAGAGCTGCAGAGATCCAAAGCTCAGGTGGACGAATATGTTCACACACAGCTATTAGTCAGACTAAAATGTGATTTTTGTTTCTTTCTTTCTTTGCCTATGTCTAAAACTCTTCTTGTGGCAGAAAACTAAC